TTAGAATTAGTAAATGTATATAAAGCTCTATATTCTATAGTCATAATTTGATCTCCTGGTTGCATTATATCATTCATATGTAACTTAAAATGTAAACCTAAGACTTTATTAAAGTTTTTATCTTTTAATGATACACAATATTTTGGGTAATACGTAAATATTATTTTTTTGGTACGTTAAATCTCCTTCTATAGTTCCTAGATGACTATCTCTCAAGTTTATTATTCTTTCATCATGAAAGCTTACAGTTAAGGGTGCATTTATTCATTTTCTAAATAATAATTAAAACATTATTCGTATTCCTGTTAAATAGGCATATTGGATTTTTTCACTTTATTTTTCATTAGTCTTTATTAATAATTCTTCAACTGTATTTTTTGTTCAAATATTTAGTTTATGTGTCCCTTAGATTGTTCTAACATTTATAATTTTTTCAATTATATGATATTCATTTATAGCCATTATTTCTCTTTTCCAAATTTTATCTAAGACTTCCCATTTTCCTATTTTTAAATCTAAAGATAATTTTTGCATTTTCTTGTATTTGTTATTATCAAATGTTACTTTTAATTCATATCCATCTATTCCTTCATATTCTTGAATATATATATTATCACTTTCTATTTCCTTTATTTCTTTATTCGGATTCGGATTCATATTCTTTTCAACTTGTTTCACTTATGTATACTTATTGATCACAATATTGTTCAATATCAAATATTTCACTTAATTCATCTTCTATTTCTAAATACTCGTTTTGTAATATTTTGACTTTTTTCTTCCCACGTTTTGTTTGTCATAAAGAAATTTTTTAAGACCTTTTAATTGAGCTGATCAAATCAGGACCGTTGAATCCAACAAGTCAAACCTTTAAATCACGGATTCTGACCCTGGCCCGGTTTAAAAGGGTGGGGGTCCATAGATTGGCCCTTTAAAGTACCCATTTTCCCCGGCATATTTCTCAAAGACTGAAAAAAGGCAGAAGGACCCCCCTAAAGACACTGCGAATTTTATCTTTTTTGAATCTTTTTTTCTTCTTTTGGTAGTTTCTTGTAACCCTCCTAGTGTCTTTTCGCACCAGAATCAATCCCTTGGCATCATCTGTTTTACTCGAAATTAATTCAGAAATTTAGGTAATTGAAAGAAGGAATAATTTAGGTAATTAAATACATACAATGTGCGCTTATAAGTATTGCACATCGGTCCACCGGAAGTCATATGGCTACTAGCTAAGCAATGAGCTCATCCTAAGTGCTCTTTGAGTCGATCTTTGTATTCGTAATGCTTAAAATATAACACTAGTCTCCATTATCAAAACTTTGGAGGTCGACACTTACCCAAAATCATTTCCAAAATTTTGTCCAGTCAAGATATGCCAACTCAATCCGAAGGAAATTATGCGGAAGCAGGAAATTAAGATATTCAAATTAAGATTTTTGGAACCATATTTGGACTTGTGATCAATCAGTAGATGCCCGTAAGAAATCTTGGAGCCACCCATTAATAGTAGATCCATAATAATAATAATAATAAAGGTGTTTGCGATCTCAATTTCAATTCAAACATGGATTTGATTCACACTCCATAAATATGAAAGAATTATTCCGTTATTCCTTATCTGATCAATGAACCTGAAAAATCCATCAAATTGTCTACCTCCATTCCTCTATTATTAATATTCATTATTCATTTAATTCTAATTTGACTGCAAATCCTTTTTCCCCAATTCAAATTGGAGGGTCGCCTGATCAACAAAAAACTCCTTCAAATTCTACCAATTCACCTGCCATTTATGAATGATTTCTTCAATCTTTTCGACTTTTAATTCAATTCAAAACTTGAGATAAGGGGTGTAGAGATGAGGGAATTAAGGATGCCCACCAGAAAGACTAACATAACCCATTATAATGTGGAGAAGTTGATCGTTGAAATGATAATTGATAATACTATTTGAAGTGGCTCATTTCGTACTAAGAAGCCTGCAAATCTTTCCATTTTCCAAGTCGATACAATCCATTTAATAGCCCCGAATAAATTCAATATGTGTATTAAGATAACTTTTCTCAGCTAGTTTTTATTTTTCTCCCTTAATCATGCTTTATTCATAACCAATTGGGTTTTTTTCTAAATGGGGCCTACATACTTCGTTTTTTAGTCCAATGAAGCCACTAGGATTCAAGGAAATATTCTAATCTAATGATGTGGGCGAGGAGGGACTCGAACCCCTAACACCATCAATCTGATCTTCGTTCACGTTTTTTTCCTTTCGTAGTACCCTACCCCCTGGGGAATTCGAAGAATCTGCACGAATTGGAATTTTTTTGAGTAATTATCGTTCTGTAAGATCATCCCGTAGTCTACCAATTAGTTAAACCATATACATATTTTAGATTCAACAAATTCGACTTCGCATTATTATCGAGGTAACTTCGCTTATTATAATTATACTAGATCGAAAAAGACATTGTTCTTTGGAAGATCTATCTCGTGACATGATAGTGAAATCCTAATCTCAAAACGAAGGGATGTATTTGGAAGCCCTTGGTCAAACGAATATTTTATAGAGAGCCGACAAGGAATTTTCCTTTTTTATCCCTATGAAATATCAGATGAAATAGAATGCTCCAATTCAAAAATTATGTTTAGCAATTTCATATGTTCAAGCAAGTTTCAATAATACCATTGTCACTCGTTGATAAAAAAAAAATGAGTTAATTGGGTCAAAAAATTTTATACAATTCTGAAAAAAGGAAAAATCTCACGAGTCTAATCATTTGAAATGTTAAAAAGACTTCGCAAAAGATGGGTAGCTAAATGAAAAAAAAAATGCAATGAGGGAGGTTAATGTAGCAGTTTGTTGTTTAAGAGTCATTTCAATCATTTGCTGACTTTCACCAATTCAGTACTGCTTCTGCAGGAGAATCTTGTCAACTGATCCATCTGCTTTTCTGGTATTTGGATTTTTCACCTTCCACATTTGATCTAATTGGTCTTTCTCAAAAATCTCCGTAAGAGTGAGATTTGTTGGAGGATGAAACATAGTTGTGGGTGCAACGCCAGCATTTGATAGCTCCAGGTCTTTACCATGATCCTTCAAATCCCATTTTGTATACTTTCGGTAGTCATCATCATGTCATCCAGTAGGAATAATTAGTTCATCCGTTCTAGGCTGATGAGTAAATTTGACATAATAATCATATTTACCAGAGGGTTTTCCAAACAACACAACAAAAGGCTCTTTGTTTTCAAATGCTTTCTGAAGCTTTTTTTTAACTTCCTGTCTTTGATCTCCTTTTCCTAGGAGGTAAAAACTCATTTTCAACTTCAGTGCTCAAACAATTGAGACAAGAACAAATATCCCAAAAATCATAGTCGAAATTATCAGTTTTGGCGTATTCCATTTTAGTCAAAGGCATAAATAGGGATATCCTCTGTGAATGCAAACTAAGTTGGAAGTCAAGGTGGTCGTTTTGAAGTCTAATCTCTTTTGAAATAGATTTTGATAGATCCATCAGATTTCTTTTTGAAATAGCGTTGAGTGCATTGTATAGGGACAGATTTTTTGGCTGATTTATGGGATTATTCGTGGCTTGTAATCCAAGTCTCAGGAATAAGTTTAGCAAGTTCAGTTCATGGGTTTTGTCTTGGAACATAGGTACAACTAAGAACATGTTCAATATCTATTTGAAAGAGTAAAGCATCTTTTGTCTCTTAAGGGATAGCGAAATCTAGATAATGATTTTGGATTCTGTAGATCATTTGATAGTAAAGAGTCGTACCATATGTAATAGAAGATGACACAACATCTGAACTTTTAAAGCAAAAATGAGTTGTGAATCTGATATGGGCATATTGAAGTTTGGAAATATGGTTACAATTTAGAGTGGTCTGTACAGTTTATATGCATGCATGTTTATATTCTGCTAACCTTGTGTCAAGTAGTGCAATTCTTGAAACTGTAGGAAGACCTTTTCTTATGTGGAGAGTAAGAGCAAATCTTACAGCTCCAAAATGGAGGTGCGTATAGCCTTCTGACAACCAAATGTTTGGAAGATGGGATGAGATTTTCGAAGTGACAAAATGCTCTTGTTCTGTGATAGGAAGGAGGTGTTGATTCTTTTACTTAAAATTTTTTGGAGAGAAATTAGGCTTCAAACGGATTTAGAAGAAGATTGTTATGGTTTTGAATAGGCTAGATATGGGTTTACAAGAGAAAGATTGGTACGAGTTATTTTATTTGATTCCTCTAAGTGGGATATCTCGTGAAGATAATCTATCTTAGAAGAAGTAGATTTTCTAAAGGAAGATGAAGAGGAGGGAGATACCAATCCAAGCGGGGAAAAAAAAAGGAATTTAATAGAATGTGAACGATTTCCATCATCTCCGATTAATTGTGTAACCATAATAAAAGATTAAAGGCCAATTCATTCATTCATAGAGGTTCGACAAGTGACTTGTTTAATTTTTATTTATTTCATGCAAAAATTTAAATTATTAAAAAAGAGTTATTCTACATATACAAAGTTATGTTGTAAAGTTGGTTGACAAAATAACATCTACACCAATCATTTTAAAAATAGAAAAATTTACATTTGACCTCCCACATTTTGCTTAGAGTTATGCTACATGTACAAAGTTGGTTGACAAAATAACATCTACACCAATCATTTTAAAAACAGATTTTTAAATCATTTGAAATCAACTGTCTGAATTTTGTCAATACATTTTATAACCCAACTTTTGTAACTCAACTTTGTACGAATAGTTAGCTTTATTGATAAAATATATCAGAGTCAAACAAAGCCTTAATAGCCCACCAACCTACCCCTCACCCTCAAACAAACCTGCATAAAAAGCCTTCTTCAACCTCTGCTTTCACAAAGAAAAACACCATTTCTAAGTGTTTTTTACAGACTCCAACGCCATTAATAATAAATCCAACCCCACCATTTTTACTGTTATTCACTATCACATTCCATCTTTCATTGGATAAACTCTCAATGGAATCTTTAAGCATTTTCAAGTTCTGGCGGAATATCACCGGAGATTCCTTCAGAAAAAACTCCAACGATGAAACCGATGACGAAGAATCGTTCTTAGATTTGGTTTTCACGTCGCCTGGTTGCACCAATAACGAAGAAACAAGAAAGGAGTTTCATTTCGTTGAATCCTCGAGAGATGTTTTCATGACCGAGAACAATTTATCAATGGATTCTGATTCGAAGCTGTTACCGTCTCAGACTTCGTTAGGGAAACCGGGGCCGATGTTTAAAGTCTTCAGGCTGGGGTTTAGAAAATCGGAGAAAAGTGAGTCTGGCGACGAGTTATTTGCGAGTCCATCAACTCGGTTATCGAGATCATCCGAAAATGAACAGAGCAAACACTTTACCGTGAAATGCAAATCGGAGGAATTTCCAGTAGCCCAATTTCTCACCAGAGACAACAGTTTGAGAAGCAAATTGACTAAAGAATCCTCCGAGGAAGCTAGATTAAAGCAATCTGTTACCAAGTATTTGAACCTGATAAAGCCTCTGTATGTTAAGGTATCAAAGCGACAAAATGAGAAATCAAAGTTTTGTAGTTCCGTCACGCCGTTATCTTCACCAGCGACGGCTCCAGTAAATTTCTCGCCGAGGAAATTGTCCGAGAGCAGCAGAGTGGGTAGTTTTAAGATTGTAACCAAGCATTTAGGAAAAAGCCGATCGGCCTCCGCTGCCGTCGGAATGTCACCGTCGCCGATTAGCCAGAGAGGTAACTCGCTATTGCAACAGCACGATGAAGGAATCCAAGGCGCCATCCTTCATTGCAAGAAATCCTACAGCTCATCGTCGAAAGGTACGCTGAATGTCCCTCTTACCTCAAAATCAGCTTGTAAATTAATTTTTAAAAACTTGACCTTTAAAATTGACTATTATTCTAATTTCTAATTCTTTATTTCCAGAATTTTCCCAGTTATCGCGGTCTGCAAGTGATCCTTCTACCCAGAAAACAATTAATCCAGGAAAAAATTGGGAAGAACAGAAGAGATGCAGCATTTAAAAAGCAACGCAGCGGCAGGGAAAAAAAAAAAAAGAAGAAGAAGAAGGGAAGATAATTTCTGATGACAAGATATTACGTCATAATTAATAGATATCAGGATTTTTGGCCTTTCTTGTAAAGACTCTCGAGAATGACCATTAAACAAAATTGAAAGTATTAGAGAACATAAATATATTGTAAATTTGTTCAAAATATTGTCTAGTCCAGTTTAATCGAGTCAAATATGTGACGGGTGGTTTGATTTGAGTGTTTTTGGTGTTCAATTAATTATACATGACAGCCAGTGGAGGGAAAGTGAATTTGTAATCTGAACTCTGTTTTCTTCAATTGGCTATTATGATTTCTTGAAAGAAATCATCATTTTTCCACTTTAAGACCAATGAAATGATCGAAACTCTGTACAAATCTTTCTTTTGCTCTCTTTTTGGAAAAGGGAAAAGAAAATAACAGGGGTTTTGCTTCATCTTAGGTTGGTGGGTACGAGTGGAAAATTTCAGGGAAAAAAATCTTACTTCAATTGTTTCCATAACCAATAAAAAAAAGGACCAAAAACCACCTCTATCACCATTGTTTCCATAACACCAATTGAAAAAACAAAAAACTAGAAAACCAGAATAACCTCATATCTATAAGTAGCCACTTCGATTCAAGGTGGGCATCTGTGAGCGAGACAGTGATTTGAACGCCAATCTGAATAATCCCAAACCCATAAGCGGCCACTTGATCTAACGCGCTGTGCGCGGCCTTGCGCTGGAGCTCCAATGACGACAGTGAAAGAATAGGAAAGTGAGAGATAGAGAGGTGAGAGACTATAATCTGGGTTTTGTTAATACTTGATTTATGCTCAAATAAACTTAATACCTGATTTTAGAATTGTCATATTTAAATACGTGTTGTGGTGTTATTTCCACAAAATTTTATCCATCACTCGAATTGGGAATTAATCAATAATATCTTGGTTATTCCTAAACTCAATTAGAGTTGGACAAAATTTTCCAACCGAATCAAATCGAGCTATTCGAATAAGTTCTTCTTAGGTTAAATACTCAAATGGTTACTAGAATTGAAGATTGACATGTTTGATTCGATTCTTGATTCTAGATTAAGAACCGAATCTCCCTAATTTTTTAATTTCTTTATATTTAATAAGCTAAATTATCTAAACAATTTGTTATTTGTATTTTTTTTAAAAAAAAATTGGACTATGTTATTTTGTAAGAGTTAATATTGAATTTATCGTTGGTTGGATTAATATATTGTTATTGTAAAATATTTTTAAAAAATTAATTTTGGTATAGAGCCAAACGGAATTGAATTGGTTCAATTTTATAATTAAATTTGGATCTAACAGTTTTACTTACTAACCATCTAGAAATTCTGGTTCAAAATCAAACCGTTGGATCATGTCCACGCCTAAACTGAATAGTTGATTTTCCACTCGAAATCATTCGACACTAATAGATAAAGAGTTTTGCGAGAACTATAATTATCCTATAGAATGGTACTTGAAGATTGTTCTAGGTCGAAAGTGAAGTTATAACTAATTGGGAAATGAATTAAATAAAGAACAATGAGTTGACGTAATTATAAAATATTCAAAATCCATTTCTAGTAGACTCGCAATGCTTAATTAGTCTATGACTTAGCATTGTTGATGCAATACAAAAAGAAGACATGTTCATGAAAAAGTGAGATTGGAGTAGAATTTTTATTTTTTTTTCAAAGTGTCCGTTTTGCGAGATATTTGTTTATTTTGAGTGAAAACGGCTCAAATAGCATAACACATCGGATTTGCCTATGACGTAAAGCCCGTTTCAGCCAATTCCATCGTTTAGGGCTTCGAGCACGCATTTTTTGTTGTTTTGGATAATTTTCTTAATTTTAATTCCTTTCAGAGTTTGACTTTATTTTTAATTCTTAACGTTCGTAACTTAAAAGTTTAATTATTGTCCAAATTTTATTTATTATTTTAAGTACGAGTTGAAAGTATTTTGACAATCAGTTAAAATTTTGAATTGAATAAAGAATTTTGAGAAGTTTTTCAAAATCATTCATTATTTCTTAATATTTGATCTTTAAAATCAACAAGTTTGAATTTTTTTTAGATTGTATTATTTCCTATAAACTCCGCGACATGACTGACATTTAGACTGAATTTGAAGTCACTGTGCCTATTTTTTAGATCAATTGAAATCAACGTGAACAGTAAAAACGAGACTTTCATGTCTGGCATTCTAAATTCAACGAACATGGTGGATTGGCCATTTATTGACTGGGGAGGAACTATGAATCTAACGGCCAATAAAAATTAAGTCTCCTCCGTAGTCATAAGTAAAGTCAAACATGCAATAAATGCCTATATCAAAATCATTGACTTCAATCTACCACCAAATTAATTGGAAAATTCAAACCTAGACAATTATTTTCACAAAACTTCACCTTAAATTGTGACATTTCAGTGAAATTGCGTCATTAGTTTCCAATTTATTGCACAAGTTGGAAGTTATATCCTATATTTTCTTCCTCGACCATTCATTATGTCCCTGTTTGGTTTGGATTAATATATAATTAAAATTTCAACTCAAAGTCAATAATTGATTTTAACCACACATTTCAACAATTTTTATCAAAATCTACTAAAAATCTGATTTTAATCTCTACCAAACAGGGGGGCTATATTGGAATATTTGACACTTAACTATATAAATATCTATTAAATCATCACAAGATCCTCATGTATATTCGAACTAGTATATTTCTAACATAAAATATTTTACGATGAAGGGGCGTAACAAAATTGGACCAAGTATAAAATCATTAATTTTGTAAAAAATATGATATTTAATGGAAAATAGAGCATTATAATTGGGCAAGTGTAGGTACATATTGAAGTCCACAATAGGAAAACTTCGAGAATTCAGTGAGCCATAGTCATGGCCTCCAAACAAGGGTTGAACATTATTGTAGTAGACCGTTATGTTTTAAGATGTTTGTGCAATTCATATATTACCTATGCTTTACGTTAGGTAGATCTCAAGTGTATCTTCGGAACTATGCATTATTGAGTTGTGCTTAACTTTTGCGCACAGTTGGTCTTGATTATTTGAATCATGCTATAGGTACAAGAAAATTATACAGAATTCATACAGGAATTTGAAATGGAGGGTTTACATTCAAATTGGGAGAAGGAAAACAACACGGTGATGGATATGATTAAACCTTTTCAAATTCTTGTCAACAATATGTAGAAATTTCCTGTACTTGTGGAATAATTCTGATTATTTTAATCCGACTCTAAATGCTTCATCTCATTACTTAGGGCTTTACTCTTGGCATCTTAGCGCTATTCAGTGAACCAGAGCATGGCCTCCAAACAAGGGTTGGACATTAAATCTTAGTCCAAGAACCATAGATACTCACTAATCCCACTGTTGATATTGTCTCTATGTAAGTCCCTTTTTTGGATAATATTAATAAGTAGAGTTTCGACTGATTGGTAATTTCCACTTTATACTCTACATGAATGAAGGAGGAATATATAATATAATTCGTTTGTTATCTTGTTCCATTAAATGGCAAATTGATTGGTATTATTTGGACTATTTTACCTTTTAAAATTTGAGGACTTCTCGTTCACGTACGCTCTTAACGAATAAAACTAAACAATCCATCTCAAACTATATCTAAGCTCATAAGTACAACGATGCCATAAAAAAATTAGAGCGAGCGTAAATATCACAATGGTTCAATTTTTCCATTCATGATTACCCTTTTCTTGATAATTTAAATATTAAGAGCTGCAAGTGATGGGTAATTTAGTACTCGATCCGCCTGATGCCTCGTATGGATATGAGTTTACAACGCTTTTAGAATAGCTAAGTCCCATGTTTAGGATTTAGGGTATCTTGATAGTGTAGCGATGGTAAGACAGGGAAAGATGAGGAAGCTTACCTTTTTTTTTTCTTTTTACTTTTTTTGCTTATTTAAGTTAGATAGTAAATTCGTTGTTTTACGCTACCTTAACGGATATTTTAGATGTAAGTCATGAGTATTAACTACAGACGTTGAATAATGAAAAGTTGAAGACAACACCGTCAATAAATAACTTAAGGGTGAAAGAGGAGAAGAGTTGAGGATGACTACTAAAATTTTCTCAAAGCAAATTTCTCCCTCCGTCTTATTTATATAGACTTGTTTTGTTTTTCACATAGATTAAAAAATCTTATTTAATATTATTGGAAAAACATTTTTTGTCAAAAACTTTCCTAATTTACCCTCATTTAATAATCAGTAACTAATAGCAAGTTATTATTCGAAGTAGCAAAAATAAGAATATATTATTAAATGAACAAAACAAAACATTCTTAATAAAAAAACAAGACTATATAATTGAGACAAGAAAATAAGAAAAGTGAGCCTATATAAATAGGACGGGGGTACTTGAGAGTGAAACCGAAAGAGACATTATGTTTCAAATTCACTTAAATTAGGTATAAAGTATTTACCTCCAATTAATCAATGAAAAAGAGAAGGTCTAATTAAACTTGATAATTAAAGATACCATGCATTAGGACAGACAGATTAGAAAACATATAGTCTCCTCATGTCCCATTGCTCTTTTCGTGTCTCCTAAATTCTTGGTCTAACCATTCAAATTCACTTCTGCTCATTTTCCAACATTATTATTTTCCTCGAACAGGAAGCAGAGAAAAAACCAATTTTTTTATGCAGTTCAATGTACTTGTGCCATAACTATTACTCTTAAAGTTGACTTCACTAGTAAAGAGAGTGGGTTCTATTCTTAGACAGTTTAACTTACAGATAAACATTTTCTTGTTTTTTTAAAGTTGAGATAAATTCTCGTGTTTTTCGAAATAAGCTAAAAATTTCAGTAACACACCTGGTATGCAATGTTCTTCTTGTTAAGTTATAGAGCCTAATTATTGTCGTTGTGTAAAGTCAGTATGCGAATTGACCTATTGTAGTTTCATTAAGGATAT